GCACCCCTCCTCCACCCCAACCCCTTGCCCTGAGCCCCTTCCTGCACACCACACTCCCTCCCGCATCCCAACCCCCTGTGCCAGCCCTATGTTCATGGCCCTGCATGCAATTTCCCCACCCAGATGTGGCCCTCGGGCCAAAAATTTGCCCAACCCTGATTTAGATCAATCCACCCTGGTATTAGAGCAACGGTGTTAAACTCATTATGTGGTGTGTACTTAATTATGGTCTGGGGTATGAATTTAGGACTGGGTACTTCCCTCGGTCCACAACAGATTACCATGTCAGTGGAAGGTTTATGCAAGAGACCAAAGGGAGTATGTGGCATTTATATAATAACCATTAGTTAGTGTTTATTAAATATAGTGCAGTAATGCCTAAAGGCTGTACTCTGTAGTTCCTTTACTCCACAGACAGACTGTGCAAATAGGTGGATTTAAAATCTGCAAACCCACAGTCTGCTGTCCATCATCAAAATGTCTCCCTGGGTCCTGGGCAAAGTTAAGATGGTTTGTGTATGTGACATCCAGCTTAAGGCACCTAGAACTGTGAGCCATTGCGTAACCCTTCTGCCTCAGCGAGTGAGTGCTTTGTGTTGCTAAACTGTGTCTCAGCTCCCTGCCACACCAGCTTGTCTGCGTTGCTAGCAAACTCTTCAAGACTCAGCCAATCTAAACCTTGCCTTGCAGATAACTATCCGAGAGCCCCAGTTCCTGAGTGCTGCCAAGACATCTTCCTGCAGTGTCCAGTCCCTCTCACTGGACACTTTCAGAAATGATTAGGTTTGCTGCCTCCAAAGAGACAGAGCACACGCCAGCTGTTAGGTTAACCCTGACTTCAATACCCAGTGCTGAGATGATTTTGTAATAGAAGAAGAAGTTTATTAGCGAAGAACAAAGATTTAAGTCACACCAAGCAAGGGAAAAAAGCTTGATAGCTTTTTAAACATATATGTAAATGTTCTTTCATTGTCCTCTGCCAGAAATCCCACCAATCAGATAGGTGAATCCCATTCCTTTGTCTAGAGTAAGCGTATGACGTAAATACTACCTCCCAAACCTATTTAAGAAAATATTTCCAGCATACATATATCATCTTTTGAATACAACCTGTACATGCATCACACAGTGATTTTCAGGATGTGGCCAGTTTATGTATGGTACCTTACGTGACACCTTTTAGATACATGTCATGACAACAGTGTGTTGAGGAAAATGAGTGCATCAGATCTGATATGGGTTACAATATGGTGGTCCCTCAGCCAATTGGCATTGATGGGCTCCTAGGGTCACAATGTGCCCATAACTATGTTTCCTTACGTTCTAATGTTAGGGTTTTTTTTTCAGTGTCACCTTAACACCTTAACTTTTTTGAAGTTTAAATAAAACTACAAGTTCTCAACATTTTTTCCGGATTAAGTTTTATTTATATTATAGTAGAACTCCAAATGTCCTTATCAGGATTGGGGGATGTTAGTGCCCAGCACAAACACAGAGGAAGAGACAGCCCCATTCCCAGATTAACAAATATTTTGTCTGTGAATTCAGAAGACGTTGACATCATTTTTTTAATGAACTTATTACTGTTCTGACCTATGTGTCCTTTGCTCTTTCATGCAGTATCCTGGAGACAGTGTGGTAACTGGCCAGGGCTGGATTAATGGGAGACTGGCTTATGTCTTCAGTCAGGTATTCTTTTGCTTTGTGTCAGTTACATATTGTGAGCTTGACCTTTCCAATTTGCTAATCTTTTGTAGATTTTGTCTAAATTGTTTGTCTTTTAGCATATCTAAATTATGTAAATTGTCCCTCGAGTTAATATTGTTCCAACATAATAACAGTGTGTTAATGCACAACATTTTGCGACACGTGGCAGCAGGGTAACAGAAATGTTCTAACAATGCGTAGCAATGGGTGAGGGGGCAAGGAGAGGCTCGCAGTGTTGATAAACTCCACTGTGTGAGAGATAAGATCAGGAACATGAGTGGTGAGAATTTGGCCTAGAAGATGAGGAGACTGATGTTTATAGAGGACAGAGAGCTAATGGGAATCTTTCAGGATGAGGGAACTGTTCTCACCAATGGGTAAAAAGGCTTGATGGTGATACTTTAGCAGACTGGAGTTTTGAGATGACTTGAGTTGGGAGTTTCAGTAATCAAGGCATTAATTCGTGATCAAATGATTGAGCAGTGCATGGTGGGCTAGTGGCATGTGCAGGATTTGACACTGATCCTGCAATGGGATCTGTTTGGATGGACCGCTAAACCTTCATGGAGCCCTGCGAAATCAGTGGGGCACTATGAATCACTGCAGTCTGCCTGCTCAAATCTGATTGCAGGTTCAGGCCTTGTGTTTGTGTAATAGCTGGAATTTGGGATTGAGGATGCTCAGGCAAACTTGATTGCTTTTCCAGTTAGAAGAACAACATTTGTTAAAGGGACTACAGTAGATGGAATATTTGGATTTTTCCTTGAAAATATTTTTTATTTAGGTATAAAATACCAGCTTTTGGCCTCTGAGGCAGTGTTTTGATTTTTTTTTTCCTCATAGTTTTTGCAGCAGTTCTTAGTGCTACTTTCTTCTCAAACTTCATGGCACACCCTCAGATCCTGAGATTCTTCAAGGCAGTCCTAAGGAAACCTCGTAGGCAGCATCTTGTCTTAGTGGAATCTATTGTATTCATTTAAATGGAATAAAGGGGCCCAAAGAGTGAAAGGTGTTAACATAACCCAGTTACTGCCCAACATTAAACAGTGTTAAACAAAGTTCAGGGTTTGGTATACAGAGACTTCAGCCTGCTTTGTATCAATGTAAACACACTATATTAAAAACCTTTTAACCTGTAAACAGTTAAAGCATTTAAAATGTGAAGTATTAAATAAGGTTTTTATTTTAGCAGCATCCCCTTTTCCCTTTCCCTTTAGCTGGAGAGTTTTTAGAAAGAAGAATCCCCTTTGTTTGATAATGTCTTAAATGCTATTTAAAATGGTAATAACTGTCCTTTTGGGTCCAAGAGAAGAAGTTAGTTGAAATGGGCTGAAGTTGCTGCTACTACTGTTAAAGTTCAATCTCATTTCCTAAGAAGACAAAACAAGACAAGCACCCACAAGAGGGGAGAGAAAAGAGAAGCAAAGATAGAAAATTGCAGCTTTGGTCTTTGGAGTGAGTTGACTCTTGTTTGCAACTTACTGCTGCAAAAACATAGGCACAGCACATGGTCTTATAAGCCACTCTGAGACCTGACAAACTTGTACCAGCATCGAGCTTTTATTTGCCCCTTTCTGATCACAGGCGTACAGACCCATTTTGGCTCATTGATTTTTTGGTTCTACACTTTTTTTGTTTACCAACCATGATCTTAACACAATCCTTGAATTTATCAGTAGGCCTTTTTATTTGGAATAATGCGGTCTTTCTGTCTCACCTTTTGCACCTTTTTCCCATCAGTATTTGTTGTAATAGTTTATTGTGACATTTTATGAATTTACACTCACTTTTCACAGTTGAGCTCGCAATTAGGGTGAATTATGTATCACAAAATAATCCCTCTCTTTTATGAACCAGTTTTGTCTAGGATCAGACATTGGTTCATAAAATTATAATTACAAAAATAAAATCCTGATTTCATTTTAAGCATGTAGAAAAAAGGAAAAGAAAAAGGTACTTACCGTATATACTCGTTCATAAGCTGAATTTTTTTAGTAAAAAAGGGAAGCACCAGAGAAAGGGGTTGGCTTATGAACGGTATAGAGAGGGAGAGATGGGACACAGCCCCCCCCCCCCCCCCAGGGGGAGCAAGGAGAGACAGCACAGCTGGCAGAGACAGAAGGGAAGAGGCAGGGCCAGAGTCTCTCCGCTTCAGGCCACGCTGCTCTCCCCCCAGCCTCCGAAGCAGCTCCGGGGCTGGCAGGCTGCAGCCATGCCGTTCAGCCCCGCCCCCTCCCCCGCCTCCCCAGCACGCTGTGGCCGCGCTGCCCAGCCCAGCCTGCCGGAACCTGCTGCGGCCGCGCTGCCTGGTCTGGCCCGCCGGAGCAGGCTGAGGTCGCGCTGCCCAGCCTGCAGGAGCAGCTCCAGCCAGGTCAGAGACCTCCTCCCCTGGCCCTCCCCAGATAAGGTGGGAAGGGATGGGATGGGAAGAGTGTGGGGGTCCCGGGTAGGGGTGGGGTCATGTGGGGGATGGTCACAGGGGTTACTCCCCTGACTCACAGCTTCTCCCCTGCCAAAAAATTTCCCCACCAGTTGCTTTCCCAGCCCGTCAGGGTAAGCAGCTGGCGCCCCGGGACCAGTAGCATAGCTGGGGGGGAGTGGCCGCTCCCCACTGAGCACCTTCCCCAAAAGTGGCACCTTTTTAATTTGTACACTCACCCCAGCAGTCTGGGTCTTCGGCAGCAATTCGGTAGCGGGTCCTTCAGCCACTCCGGGTGTTTGGCGGCAAGTCCTTCAGTCTTCAGCAGCAAGACTTGGGTTTTTCTTTTGTTTTTTTTTTTCTCTTCGCTGCTTCAGCGCTTTTTTTTAATGTGTTAGCTCCCCCTGCTGGTAAAACCTGACTACGCCACTGGCCGGGACACTTTACTTAGGTTTACCTCTGTGCCTGCGGATGCTCGAGGTAAACAAACCATCTCGGCCCACCAGCGGCTTATCCTGATGGCCCGGGAACCAAAGTTTGCTGACCCCTGAATTATAGGGTCGGCTTATGAATGGGTAATACAAATTTTCCATTTTTACTTATCCATCTTGGGGGGGTTGGCTTATAAACGAACCATCTTATGATCGAGTATATGTAGTTATATTTTACCATTTGCAAATTTCTTATTCCAAAACTGGGATTTAGAAATTTTACTTGATTAAATATTACAAAAAGTACAGATAAGACTTTTAAATGTTAACGGCGTTTAAGAGCTTACAACTCACTTTGTTTGTCTCTAAAAACAAAACTTAAAACTGCTCCTGTTATATGTTTGTAAGATGTTTGAGAACAAACCAGTTCTTATTATTTCCTTGGCTGTACATCCAGGATGGGTAAAGATGAAACCCCTCCCCACGATTTTGTTTTGCACTGCTTACATAGTTAAACCTGTACATTTACACAAACTGAAAATTTTATGCATCTAATGGTTAAAATAGCTTACTCTGAGAAAATTTTTAGCCCTGATGACATTTTTAGCTAAGTGTGTTGCCTTCTTTAAAAAGAAGCAACAAAATGATTTTCTTTGGAACCACTTTTGCATTCATGCACTATTTGCAACACCCAAAGGAGGTACAAATTCTCCAGCTTTTTAGTCTGTTACAGACCTTACCCATCTGTTTCGCCACCAACATTTGTGAGGACAACATGGCCATTGTAGCACCTCAGCCTATAATGGAGATATAACCTGCAATACTAGCCCTGTGCTGTGTTACGTGCACAAAACAGCTACAGTTATTGACATCAAAAACAAAACAGGGGAAAAATATAGCAAATTGCTAAACCAAAAACCAGTCACAAAAAGGTTTGGTGCTGCAATAGTCCTTGGTTGTGGTGGTTTGAAATTTAATTTACAATTAATGCAGATGGCGTTTTGTTAACAATGGGGAGAAGGAGGGTTACCCATGGAGTTGTTTTAGTAAAGGGCTGCTTTAGCAACTTAATCTTTAATATTTAAAACTTCATTTTTGCCACTTTTTTTTCCCCTCTTAAAAATATCTTTTTATTAAACCTTCTAAATTATTACTAATGACAGGAACAACAAACTTTAAAAGAAAAGAAAAAACCAAAACAAAACATTTGTTAAATATTAAAAAAAAAAAAACTGAACCTTTAAAACAATTAACAATTTAAAACAATTTTTTTAAGTTAAAAACATTAACAGCTTACTTTGAAGGCTTATTTTAAACAACTTAACACATTTAAGGATTTTAAACAAGCTTTTCTTTTAAACCAACTTTGAAACCTTCTCAGCATGTATTTAATCCTTTAGGCTTACTCAGGGACAGCAAACATGTTGTATTAATTTAGATGGAATAAAGGGGCCCAAAGAGACAAAGGTGCTAACATAAGCCACTCACTGTCCAGCATTAAAGTGCGTCAAACAAAGTTCAGGGTTTGGTATAAAGAGACCTCAGACTGCTTATTACCATGGCAAATACACCATTAAATATCCTTTTAACAATTGTTTTAAAGTTCGGGTTTTTTAAAACCTTCTAGTGTCCTTAGAAGACAAAACAAGGCAAACGTACGAAAGAAAGAGAGAATAGTAAAGATAGAGAATTTCAGCGTCTGTCTCTGGAGTTGACTCTTAGTTGCAATCTTACTGCTGAAAAAACACAGGCACAGCACAGGTTCTTAAAAGCCACCCCAAAACTTGGCAAACTTGAACCAGCATCGAGGTTTTTAGGGCATTGCTTTTAGTTGCCTCTTCCAGGTCACAGGCTTACAGCAGTATTGCAAAATATAGTCTTATTAGACTCTTACTAGACAGAAGGACTAAAGAGATGGCCAGGAAAGAAGAAAAAATAAGGTTGGGGGTGGGGTGGGGGGAGAACACATGGAATAGGGAAACAGTTGCACATCCCAGATGGTGTTTGGGATTCAGCTGGAGCTGGTGGGGGTGGCAAAGTCATTTGGGTTCCTTTGGTCTGGTCAGACACTTTTCAAACTTGGGACAAAAAAAATCCAGAGTCCCAATAAATGGTGGAGGTGGCAGCCATAATGGTGAAGCTCGCTCCAGTAGCTAGTTTTTCTCCCCAAAGCCTCTTTCTTTAAAAACCCCCCAAAGGGCAAAATATCCCGTTCTCCTCATTATTTTGTCCACCTATTTGTTGCCAGCACAGAGTGCCCGAGGCAAAGCAACAGCGGGGTTTGTTGCCCGGTGTACTTCGCGCCAATAAACACATCAGGGGGAGAAGCAAACAAAGTTTATTTGGGATCCCAAAGCGGTGCTAGGAGACAGGCACGTCTCAGACCAAGCACACTAACAGAAACAGTTTTTCTTCTTTTATACATTTTGCAGTTAAGCCTCACCCCCCCTTTCCCCTCTAGCCCTCCCTTTCTCCCCCTCCATTCCTCCCTCTACCCCTCCCGTCCCTGGTAATAGTTAC